TACCTGATGGGGCAGGAATGATATAGCACAGTGGGTAACAAGCTGGCCTTGTATGCGGCTGACCTGGGTAACAAGCTGGCTTTGCATGCGGCTGACATGGGTTCAATCCCTGGCACCCCATAGGCTCCCCTAGCACTTACAGGAGAGATCCCTGAGTGCAGAACGAGGAGTAAGCCCTGAGCACCACCAGGTGTGTCTCCCACAAAAAAAAGGAAGGAAGAAAGAAAGAAAGAAAGAAAGAAAGAAAGAAAGAAAGAGAGAGAGACAAAGAAAGAGAAAGAAGTAAAATGGCCACCTAGGTGAAAGACTATCACAAAGTTGGAGGGGGCCCTTTTTTTATTTGGTGGAACCTCCATTTCCCATCTGTCAAACGGTGCCCCTGGTGCTTCCCAAGCATCCACTGATAAGTGGGTAGGTATACCAGGGACAAGCCTGTGGCTCATCCGCTCCACAGGTGCTGCTTGGAACTCTTTGGTCCTCACACCTTCTTCCCAGCTCAGTTTTGTTTCATTTTGTTTTGTTGGTTTGGGGGGCACACGTGATGGTGCTCAAGGGATGCTCCCAGCTCCATGCTCAAGGAGGCTCTCTGGCAGTGCTGGGAATCCAACTCAGGCGAAGTTTTGCAAGCACTCCACATCATCCCAAAGCTGCTGCCATGCCTCTGGACAGACTGCCCAGTAAAACATTTTTCTGGATTTTCTGGAGGACCGTCTACAAGGTCTACAACACCGATATCCCAGTTGTAGCATACCAGTTTGGATGGGAATGTAACGCAGAAGTAAAGCAATCTCAACCAACAAAAGCATGAGCACAGAAGGCTTAACTTGCAACAACAGCTGAGTAAACCCTCAGACAAAGCCTTGATGTCTGCATGGTGGGATACAACAATTTTCACAAATCTTTCTACGGAAACTTTTTTCGATCATTCTGTTGGCCATTTAATGGTAAGGAGCAATAGAAAATCAATCATTGTGAACCTGCTCCAGGGGTAGGCTTGAGGGGTGGTCGGGAAAATGGTGACAATGGTGGAGGGAAGGTGACAGTGGTGGTGGGGTTGGGGTTGGAATATTGAATGCCTGGAACAAATCATCATGAGCAACTTTATCAATCACAATGTTTAAGTAAAGTGGGGACAAAAAAAGAGAGCGAGAGAGGAAGTGGAAAGAGCTCAGCTAAAGCTGAGGGTGGGCTTCATCTGGCAGAGACCCAGGCTCTATCTCAGGTCCCCCCGGCAAACCCAGAGCACCTCCTGAGCACTGAGATGGGAGAAGCCCCCAGCACTGCCAGCTGTGCCTCTCCTCCCTCCCCCCTAAAAAGAAATAAACCCAATAAATAAATAAATAGTGGAAGCAGAAGACGAATCCGTTTACAAAAGTGATTCCTTTTTCAGATAATACTTAACTTGGAGAGCATGCTTTGAAAAAGACACTCCCATTTCCTGCTGGCAAAATATGTAAATTGGCACAAGTTTCCTTTCGTCAATTTGGCAAGATGAATCAAGAACCTTAAAACATTCATTATCTTCCCATCTAATAATTACACTTCTGGGAATCTAGCCTAAGGAAACAGTACCCAAAATGTGGATATATTTAAAGCTCTCTCCAGAAAGATGTTCATTGCTGCGTTCTTTTCAAAGGGAAATGGTATTTTAAATGTATAATACTTAATAACACAGGAAAGGACTCCCTTACAATATTCATTAAAACTGAAGGCAAGACAGGGTAGGCATTCAGCATTATTGTACTGATATGTAACTTCTCATCCATACACATCATATCATGAAAGAATGTCACCAAAATGTGGCTAGTTAGCTTCACCTGAAGGGTTTCAAGGTTTGGTTTTCTTCAGAAATGCGCCAAAACACAGGTCAGGATCCGTGAGCAGAGGAAGGGAGCTGTGATGGCCGAGCCCCAGGCATGGCTGTGCCTGGCAGGACAGGACACCGGCTCTGTTGTCTTGTCTTGAGGAGGGACAGCATTTTGCAATCAGAGCAGGCAGCTTGAGTTAAGCAGCTGGGCTAAACAGGCACTCCGTCTCCTACTACACACCTTGAAAATGAGTGCAGATGAAGAAAGCCCAGGACAATGAGCACAGGAGAAATTATGGAAACAAAAGTTTAGAATCTGGAGAGCACTGACGGTCTGAGATGAGAACTCAAGTACTCTCAAAGAAGAGCCAGGACCCCCAACTCTGAGCACTGGAAAGGGGCTGGGGGGAGGGTAGAACAAGGAGAATGGGTGGGTCTCATGGAGTCTGTGCAAAAAGCAGAAGAGGTGCCAGGGAGATAGTCCGGCAGGTCGAGCGCTTGCCTTGCATGTGGTCAACTCAAATTCAATCCCCGCATCCCATTTCCCAAGTCAGCCAGGAGTGATCCCTGAGCGCAGAGCCAGGAGAAAGCCCTACACACCACTGGGAATGGCCAAAAGTATTAATAAGCAGAAGGACCCCCATGGCTCTATCTGCCCCTACCCCCTAAGACCAGCAACCCCACCCTAGCCCTGGCACAATGATAAGTTTGCTCAGGGGAACCTGCCCAGAGGGTCTGAGCCCTGAGGTTCAGCTCAGGGTGGAGTATCAGGCTGAAGCAAGATCCACTAAGTCTGACCATGCCTCCACCCTTCAAAAGCCCCCGAAAGCTGGTAGCTTCTGCGTCAGAGCTCAGAACATTAGTGCCGAGTTCCTGAGAAAAGCCCCACCCAAGAGACAAAGCCTAAGAGACTAACATCAGGATCCCCCAGTGAGACAAGCCAGTCTCCACCAGACTATTACAAGTGAGACTCACACGCAGGGGAGCCATCACTGTGCACACATACACACATACACACATGTATGCATGCATGCATGCATATACACTCATACATATATGCACACACGCATGCACATTCACACACATGCATATACATGCATGTACAAATGCACATATGTATACATGCGTATTTATACACTCATGTATATATGCACACACAAGCACACGTGCATGCTTGTACACTCATGTATATATGCACACACATGCACACATGCATGCATATACACACATGCATATATGCACACATGCCCCTACATGTGCACACAAGTACATGCCAATCCAATTTTCTTTTTTTTGTTTTGTTTTGTTTGTCAATCAGTATTTAGGGGACCAGGTCAACCCCGCACGAGGACCTGAGTTTGAGCCCAGTGTCCCCAGGTCCCAAACACTGCCCCAGTGGCTGTGCTGGGCCCAAACAGCACCCCATCCTCAGCCTTACACTGACCCATCGGCCCAGCTAACTGAGCCCCTCCAGGAGGGGCCCACAGGAGCCCCCCCACCAAAACAATACGTAACACTAAACATTGTATTAGTCAAGGGTGGTCTAAACCTGTCACTCAGAAAGAAGGAGAACACCAGGGCTAGCAGCTCAGGACTGAGGGGGAGTGGAGGTGGGGGGACCTAGCCTAGGGAATTGTTCTTTTTCATAATATACGTTATGATGTTATAAGCCCATAACTATGATTCTTTACTGTAAACGTTAAATATGGAAAGCTTCCACGGCAGAGGACAGGGGTGGGACACCCCGATCAGGACAACTGACACATGGGGCTCAGGAATGGGAGGAAAATGGGAGCCCCAGATGGTCCCAAAGAGGTGAGAAGAACGTCCTAGGGGGGCAGGGGCAGACCTGGTGAGGGGGTTGGAGTAGGCTCAGACACGGTTAGGGACTCATCAGGACTCACCCCCTGGTGGATGGGAAGGAGACAGGGGGCTGGTGAGGAGGTGCAGGTCAGGGAAAAGAAGCTCAGCTCTGACCATGGACCAGCCCAGGCATATGGAACTTTTCCCTCCCAGCATCCAGCTCTCTGATCCGGCAGGCAGACATGAGACTGCCAAGGGGCTGAGTCAGAGTTCAGGCTTTGGGGTCGTGGAGTTAAGATACCTGCATACTGGGACTGGAGAGAGAGCACAGCGAGTAGGGTGCTTGCCTTGCATGCATCTGACCTGGTTTTGATCCCCAGCATGCCATATGGTTCCTCAAGCCTCCCCAGAAGTACAAAACCAGGAGTGTGCCTTACCCCCCCCCAAAAAAAAATCAAGCACTGCCAGGTGTGCCTCCCAAAAAATGAAAAACTAAAAACTGGAGGGACATCAATGAGAGGTCTGGGCCATGTAGCCAGACAGAGCAGGGTGTGACCCCAACGGTGCCACCCTAGGCATACAATCTCCTCCCCTCTCTAAATTCCTGGGGTGCCAGGATGTCGTCTCTCTGCAACAGACCCAGCCGCACCCACACCCCAAAAACACAAGAGTCTAAAGAACCACACCGTGGGGTGTGGAGTTCCCCGTTCCCGTGTCACCTCCCCCAGGAGCCCCTCCAAGCTGTCCTGGGCTGTGCTCCATGGCCTGCCTGCCTCTGGGTGTGAGGCCCTGAAAGCGTTCCTGGGGGTGGATGGGCACCTTCAACAACCCGCTCCCCCCACCACCACCAAACCCAGTTTCAGAACAGAGACCCCACACACACAGGTTTGCATCAACCAGAAAGTCAGCTTTATTAGCCCATCACCAGCGGACAGGGCGGGGAGACAGCTGGGGAGTGCGCGGAGGGGAGCCGAGCCCGGAGCCCGGCCTGCAGGAGGTGAGGCCAGGGGGCAGCAGGACCCTCTGGAAGAGCCACTCAGTGCTTAGAGCCCTGGCCGAAGCTGGATGAGCCCTGCTCCTTGAGGATGGGCCGGGTCTGGCGGCCGGTGGAGGAGGAGGAAGAGGAGGTGTAAGCTGTGGGAGAAAAAAAAGGGGGAGGTGAGAGGGATTCTGGGGGCAGAAGGGAGCGACCCCAGGAGGGAGAGGGCTGGGGGGCTGCAGGGAGAGGGACCCTCAGGGTCTTACTTTCTCTGGAAGAAGAGTACTGGCCAGAACCGGATGAGTGCTGGGAGGAGGAGAGGCTGCGGGAGGAAGAGGCAGAGCTGTTAGATGTCTGGGGGCAGAGACGATGAAGGGCCAACACCTGGGCAGGAAGGGGGGCCCCACTCACTGGGCATCCTCGCCCTCCAGCAGGCGACGGTAGGTGGCGATCTCCTGCTCCAGCCGAGTCTTCACGTCCAGCAGGATCTGGTACTCCTGGCTCTGTTGCTCCATCTCGCAGCGCAGCTGGCCCAGCTGCTCCTCCACGTTGCCAATGAGCCCTTGGATCTGGGACAGCTGCATGCAGTAGCGGCCCTTGGTCTCTTCCAGGCTGCCCTCCAGGGAGGCTTTCTGTGAGGGAGGAAGAGAGAGAGAGTCAGCGGCAGAGGTCACTCCATCTCCTGGTCTCTGAGCCCATTTCCAGCAAGGGGTGTGAGGTTAGAAATGGAGAAAAACGATTTCCCCCTCTGGGTCTTCCTTTCTCCATCCCCCCACCCATGGGGCCATCAGCTCTGAGGTCCTGTGGCTCGCAGGACTGAGGAGAGGGGACGAGCAGAGGGTCCCTCTTACCATGCTGAGCTGGGACTGCAGCTCAATCTCCAGGCCCTGGAGCGTGCGCCGGAGCTCAGTCACCTCACTGCGGCTACTCTGCACCAGCTGGCTGTTGGACGCCACTTCCTTGTTGAGCTCCTCAGTCTGCAGGAGGATGGAAGAGCAGCCATGAGGCTCCGCTCCCTGGGGGGTACCCTTGCCCCGGAAGTTGGGCACAGGGCCTAGCACCCCATCCCCACCTTGCTCAGGAACCAGGCCTCGGCGTCTCTGCGGTTCTTCTCGGCCATCTGCTCATACTGATCACGCATCTCGTTGAGGATGCGGCTCAGGTCCACACCGGGAGCGGCATCCATCTCCACGCTGACGTCCCCGCCGGTCTGGCCACGCAGGGCAAGCATCTCCTAGGAAGAGGAGGCCCAAGATGGGTCAACTGGGCGGCCCCCTCCTCTCTGTGTCCCGGGTGCCCCCCACCCCCAGGCCAGCAGCACCCTCACCTCCTCGTGGTTCTTGCGCAGGTAGGCCAGTTCCTCCTTCAGGCCCTCGATCTGCATCTCCAGGTCAGTTCTGGCCAGGGTCAGCTCGTCCAGCACCCGGCGCAGGCCGTTGATGTCAGCCTCCACGCTCTGGCGCAGGGCCAGCTCATGCTCGTACCTGGCAGGACAGAGAATAGGGCATCAGGCTCGACCCCTGAGACTTCGAAGACCCACCGTGCTGGGGATGAGGAGGCCCCAGGCTCGCCAGCTTGCACCCTGCCTGCTGTCCACTCACTTGGTCCTGAAGTCATCGGCAGCCAGCCTGGCATTGTCGATCTGCAGGATAGGCTGAGCGTTGTCGATGGTGGCAGCAATGATCTGGGGTGGGGAGACAGGAGTTAGTCGTGAGGATGAGAAGAGAGGCGAGAGAGGGCCTTCCCAAACTTGGGGGGGGGGGTGTCTTCTGGATGGCCAGTCAGGCCCTCCTCTCCACCTAGCACTGGGTGGGCGGGGATGCAGCCCACGTCTCCCACCACCCCATCCTGAACCCCAGATTGAGAGGCACTGAGTTGCCCAGAGCAAAAGCTCATTTGCTGACACAAAAGACTCAGCAGCTACCCAGCTCCAACCCCCTGATGTTGAACACAGACTTTTGATGCCTGTTTGCCTGTCCCAGGCAAACCCCAGTCTCCCCATCTGTGAAGGACTGCTCAGGGCCCCCACCTTGCTGCGCAGCTCCTCGATGGTCCGGAAGTAGGGGCTGTAGTCCTTGCTCTCCTGGGGACGCTGCCTCTGGTACCAGTCGCGGATCTTCACCTCCAGGTCGGTGTTGGCCTCCTCCAGGGCCCGCACCTTGTCCAGGTAGGAGGCCAGGCGGTCGTTGAGGTTCTGCATGGTCACCTTCTCGTTCCCGGAGAGCAGGCCATCGCCACCGCCCAGGCCCCCACCGAAGCCACCACCAAAGCCACCGCCGAAACCACCGCCGAAACCACCGCCGAAACCGCCACCACATCCTGCACCTCCGAAGCTGCTGCTGCTGCTGAAGCCGCCGCCATAGCCGCCCCCCATGCCGCAGGCCCCCCCGGAGGAGAAGCGGGAGGAGGACATGGACATGCCCCCGTAGGCGCTGGGTGCCCGGCAGGCGCCCCCCGCCAGCACGGACGACATGCGGCTGGAGCCCCCACCGATGCCACAGGAGCCCTTCATGGAGCTGGAGGAGAACTGGCGGCTGCAGGAAGTCATGGTGCCGAGAGCGAGTGAGTGAACGAGCGGAGAGCGAGCAGAGAGCGAGGTGTGGGGAGCTGGGAGGCTGTGGATGCTGCCTGCACCCCGGGAACCTTTATACGCAGCAGGGGAAGGTGGGGCCTCCCGACTGCTGACTCCGGCTCCCCTCGGATTTCATCACTGGCTCGGGATTATTCAGCCTGGGGTCGACTCACCTGCCGGCTGGTTCCCACCCAACACTGGGGGTGTGGGGCCGAGAGAGAGAAAATACACAAGCGCGAGTTGGCGTGACTCAGGATGGGCGGCGGGACCCGACTCGGTTCCTGGAGCCCGGGGGCCAGCAGCGCCTTGACACAGGCAGCTTTTGTGGCAGCCGCGTCCCCGGGCGGTGAGTCAGCCCCCGGCAGGATTCCCTCCCTGCTCATGGGGACAGTCTTGGCAGAAAGAAGACCCAGCACTAGTGTCTCGGGGCCGTGAGGGGCTGCCATGGAGCAGCGAACAGAGGGATCCTCTGAGCCGAGTCCACACTGGCTGTCCTTGGCTCTGCCTGCTGTGTGACCTGAGGCCACTCACCTGCCCTCTCTGAGCTTGTTTCCCAGAAATGACAAGGCTGGACTAGGAAAGTACTTCCTGGTTCTGCCCTCTGAGATCCGATCTCAGCCCCCAAGTCTCCAGGAGGGATGGGGTTGAGGGATGGGAGAGAGGAACCAGCAGCAGAGCTGAGCCTGAACCCACACTCTGCCCAGGTGTGCCTCAGTTTCCCCACCTGTGAGACGTAAGGATACACCAGCAGCACAAAGGAATATGCAGGAAGGATTCCGCCAGCCCTCCCCCTTGCCAGTCTTGCCCCTCAGCCCCGTGCTTCTTCCTTTCCAGGCCAGCCACCCCTCTCCTGCAGACCCCCCCACACACACAGACACACACACACATACACACACTCACACACGGGTCAGTACTGAGCTCAGGGGAACTTGCAGTGCCTGAGATTGAGCTCCGAAGTTCACACAAGCACGTGTGACGTTCACATGTGCTCTGCCCATTGGGCCATCTCCCCGGCCCCCCGTGACACTGATCCTGCACCCCCTTCCTCTGCTCCTCTCCAAGGAGTCTCTGTCCTGCACTTGTGCTATGGGTCAGCCCTGACCCTCCCAGTCCTTACACAGGGACTCTGTTTCCAGTTGGGTTCCTGTGGGCTGCCCTGCCTGGCCCTCACATCTTTGAGAAATGCTGTTCCTGCCTCCTTTCACAGCCAAGGTCGCTAGACGGGCTGGTGGGTTCCCCAGAGACCCGTCAGGGGTGCTGAGATGACCCCAGTCCACTGTCTCGCCAGCATGAACCCTTTCCTGCCTCCTGACACAATTTCTCTATGTCTCAAACATACACCCCTTCTTAATCAGCCCTGGGGAGTGGGTAGTGGTGAGGGGAGGCCAGGAACAAGGGCGACGGGCATCTAGGGCTCTAACCTTGACGAGCTCTGTTCCACTGCCCCATGATGCCTCACGGGCATCCGGGACAAGCCCATGCTGGGCAGTGTGACCTGGGCCCTGGAGGCTGGAATGGGGGTGCTGGGCCTCCTCGGGGTGCTCTGAGGGTACCCATGGTCTTGTCCAGAAGCACCCTATGCTGGTGAGAGGCCCGGGAAGGACTCCCCGGCCTGAGGAGCACAGAGCAGCCCCACATGGGTGCGGGCAGGAAGCATCCCTCGACCTAACCAGCCTTGGCTGCTGCATGTGGCACAGAGGTCAGGGCAGACCTGGTGCCCCACTCGCTGCTAGGAACAGGCCTGGAGACAGGACCCCATACCCACCACTGGACCCCAAGTAAGTAAATGGAGATCCCGGACTCTTGCACCAAATCTTGGGTGTCCCCCAGGGTTGGGATGAGTGTGGAGTTTGGGTCCCTCATTCTGGGCACCGGAAGTGACCCAACAGGGCACCAAAGGCCAGCAAGGCCCCAGCAGAGAGGACAGAAGGTGAGATAGTGCCAAGCCGAGCAGAAACGTGAACCCCATTCCCCAACAGCTCCTCCTGCTCTCCCAGCACCCCCCTACCTGGAGAAACGGGTAGGGGGAATCACACACAGCCCCAGCCCTGGAGCTCTGGACACCTATACTTGGGGATGAGGTGGGGGATGATGCCAGGGGCAGCTGCCACAGGCCCACACAGCTCTACGTGAGCTGGCACGAAACCAGCAGGCAGGACAGCTTGAAACTTGAGTCTGACCTGGGGGCTCCTTCCCTGACTCTGAAGAGGAGGGGCCTCTGAGCCGGAGGTGCCCAGCACACAGGACAGGGCCGCTGAATTCTGCCCCATATGCACACACCAACCCCCTCCAGAGTGTCCAGGGCCTTCAGGGAGAGCCACAGATCTGAGTGGGCAGCAGGGCAGGGGCCATCCCTGCAGGCACACATACCCCAATGTTGCCCCATCACTATGCCTGGTGGTCCCAGGACACACACCACCCCCCAGCTGGCACCTCTGCTGGCAGTGGGCTCCTTCCCCAACACCCCCCACCCTTTCTTCTCTCCTCACCCCGCCCCATGGCTCGTGTGAGGTCATCCCATACCTGCGTTGGCCGGGAAATATTCTTGGCCAGCGCACGCCACGACTTGTCCGATTCCCGAAGCTGAACCGTCGTCGTCAGAAGCCCGCACTCCCCCCGCCCTTGCCACAGCACCGCCAGGACAAGCCCGGTCGTGGGGACGGTTTACAAGCTCCCCCAGGATTCTGATGACCGGCCAGGCTCGAACTCGGGATGCAGCCCAGGGTGGGGGTGGAAGGGGCAAGCAAAGAAGACCCCAGAGAGAGCCCAGAAGGGACCCAGCTCCTGGGAACCCACAGGAGACAAAGAAAGAGAAGAGGCGGCCAGACAGAGTCGCCCTAGAGTGGGGCCAGGTTCAAAGCTGTGTGAGTCTCAGTTTCCTTCGGGAGATGGGCACCGGGCCTTGTTGGTGTCACACATGCTGGGAGCCTGGAGGTCAACGAGATCGAGTGCCTGGGACTCACCAGATCTGCCCCACAGCTATTTGTAACACATCTTCCCAATGCCAAAGCTGCTGGACCCTCAAGTTCAAAGAACTAGACAGAGGGGCCGGGACCCATAGTCCAGCAGGGAGGGCATTTGCCATGCATGCAGCCGACCCGGGCTCGATCCCCAGCATCCCATATGGTCCCCTGAGCCCCACCAGGAGTAACTCTTCCTGAGTGAAGAGTCAGGAGTAAGCCCTGAGCATCACCAAGTGCGGCCCAAGTCCCCACCCCACAAAATGAAATTAACAAAGAAATGGACTGAGACCCGCCCTCCATCAGCATACAGATGGGGTCCAGGAGAGCAAATCAGGCTCTCTCAGAGTGGAGAATGCCCCCACCCAGGTTCTGGCCCCCTAACGGACCTGGATCTGGGTGGATCTGGCACACCAGCCCACCCAGGGTGCTCCTCTGCCCTCACCCGTGTCTGGGGTTTCTCCGGCAGCTGTGGCCAGGTCAGCTTCCCTTACAGCCTCTGAGCGAGAGGCAGAGCCCCAGGGGCCCCCTGTCTGGGGCAGCATGCTTGAGGTGGTACAAGGGTCCCACTTTGTAGAGGATGAGGGAGGATTGACCCTCCTGAACCTGCTCACCAGCCCTAGACTGGGTCCTCCTGGGAAGACTCTGTCTCCCCTTTCCCCAGAACCAAGCCCTGCAGCACCCGCCTGGCACAGAACCATGCAGGCTGTGCCCTGGGCCCTGCCCCGTCAGCGCCCCCTGCAGGAAGCATTTCCCATCACACGGCCAGACTGCGGGAGCGGAAGATCCCAGGCTGGCCCTGAGGAGCGTGGGTCTGGGATCTGGGGTGTGCCCACCACATGGAGGATTGCGACCCCCACATGAAGACTGCATCCATGAAACAGGGGTGTGGCAACTCATCTGGGGTTGACCTGGGGGTGTGACCCTCACATGGCAGAGGGAGCATTTGTGACCCTCACATAGGGGGGTGTGACCCTCATATAGGGACGCAACTGTCATTGTCACATGGTGTGACCCTAATATGGGGGGCATCTGTGACCTTCACATGGGGGGATGTGACCCTCATATGGCAGAGGGGTGTCTGTGACTCTCACATGCAAAGGTGACACTTACATGGCAGGGGGGCATCTATGATCCTTACATGGGGGTGTCTGTGATGCTTACATGGGGGGCATCTGTGACCCTCATATGGGGGGTGACCCTCACATGGCAGGGGGGTTTCAGTGACCCTCACATGGGGGGTATATATGTCATGGAACACGTCATTCATCTTCTGGGATAGGTGCACATACATGGGATTTATGTGTCCTTCACAGCAGAGGGCTCAGGAGCAGATGCCCCCTTTGCTGATGGGCTTCCCTAGGGTGAATGGGGAGTCCCTCTCCAGAGCTCAGCCACAGCCTGGGTCAGTTTGGGGAGCACAAAGCCACCCTAAGACCCCCACAGCATCCGTAAGGGGGTCCCAGCCCCGCACCACCCCAGCCTGTGCATTTCTGGAAAGGGGGCCACAGGGGCTGGAGTAATAGCACAGCAGGGAGGGCATTTGCCTTGCACGCAGCCAACCCGGGTTCAATTCCCAGCGTCCCATATGGTCCCCTGAGCACCACCAGGAGCAACTCCTGAGTGCAGAGCCAGGAGTAACTCCTCTCCACTGTCGGGTGTGACCCCCAAAAAAGCAAAAAAGGAGGGGGCACCTTCCCTCAGAGGCCCAGGATCACACACAGAGACCCCTGCCAGGCCCAGGTTCACCCCTCGAGCCCCCAACTCCCCCGAAGCCATGCCTGGCTACGTCCTTCCTCAGCAGAGGGGGTCTGTGTGCACGCCCCAGTGGGATGGACCCCAGCACCTGCCAGGACAGGCAGGACCCCAGTGCTGGGGTGGGGCGGGAGGTGGGGCCCCGGCGCCTCGTCCGCTCCCGCGCACCCCGCAGGCTGAGTCATGGCTGTCGGAGCCTCAGTGTCCCCATCCACACAAAGGGGTGCCTCTGCCCGACCCTGCCTGCTTCCTGGGCTGCGC